TTCTCATGAAAAATTCTAGCTTGTGTGTTCATTGTGTGAGGACATCAAACATTTATCAAGTTCCCATGGTGTGCAAACAATTATGTAAAGACATGTAAAAGATGCCAAGACATATCAGATATTAACTGTGGGCTTGTGGAAACTATAGATTAATATGAGAGGATTAAAATTACATATAATAGAGGGACCACCACTTCACCAACACGTAGTAGCTTCTTGACTTGCAAATCCTCCTTAAAACTATAACACCCTGGACAGAACACAACGAACATAGGAAGACTCTGAAAGATAGAAGAAGAAAGGTGACTGTCTAGAAACCTTGGAACTTGAAGAATGATGTGAGAGTGATTTTTTCTTATTGCCTTCTATGTGTATTAGACAGGGCCCTGCAGAAACCTCCAACATGGAATTGCTAGTAAGCACAGGGGAGGGGGGCACTAAAGCACCAAGAAAAGTCTGTTCCCTTTAACCAAATGCTGAGGGAAAGGAAGATAGAATAACATGGAACCTTTCTGGCACTACATGTTTACTCCAGCCAAACCCCGGTAGCCCCACACCACCCCGGACACAGGTGCTGCACTCCGACAAAAGAGGGACATGCTCGGTCCCTCCTCAGCTGCAAACAGAATTGTTCTGACTGTTAATGACAAATGATTTGTAACATCTTATGGCATTTTTTCTTCTTAGATTACAGCGTCAGAGCCATGCTAAAGATAATGAAATCAAGAACCTTAAAGAGCAACTTTCTATGAAAAGGTAACAAGTGGCTGGTCCTATAGTAGACTGCTGTCAGAGACTAGGGCTTATGAGTTCTCTTCTCTTTATTGCAATCATTACTGCTATCTGTGACTGCTTTATGAAACCGGCTAAGTTTTGTTCTGATTCATATATTTTTTTATAATTGTTGTTTTGAGATCTAATTCATATAGAATAAGATTCACCCTGTTAAAGTATACAATTACTTGGTTTTTTATATATTCACAGAGGATTATAACCATCACCACTATCCAATTCCAGGACATTTTTATCACCCTAAAAAGAAACTCTGAATCCATTAGAAATCACTGATTCTCTTTTCCCCCAGCTTCTGGGAACCACTAGTCTTTTTTTTTTTTTTTGGTCTGGACATTTCATATAAATGGAGTCATATAATACATGGTTTCTTGTGATTAACTTCTTTCACTTAACATGATGTTTTCAAGGTTCATCCATATTGTAGCAGGTATCAGTACTCATTCCTTTTTTATGGACAAATAATATTCCATTATATGGATATACCACATTTTTCATCAGTTGATGGACATTTTGTTTCCAGTTTTTGACTATTATCAGTAATGCTGTTATGAATATTTGTTTTTTCTTGTTTGTTAAGAATATTTGTATACAAATTTTTATGTGGATATACGCTTTTAGTTCTCTTGGGTATATACCTAAGAGTAGACTCGCTAAGACATGCAGTAAGCTCTGTGTTTAACTTTTGGAGGGACTGCCAAACTGTCTTCTAAGTGACTGTACCATTTTACAATCCCACCAGCCATGTGAGTATTTTGATTCTCTACATTCTCACCAATAACTTATGTTATCTGTTTTGGTTTCACCCATCATAGTATTTGTTAAGTGGTATGTATCTTTGTGGGTTTTATTTGCATTTTCCTAATAATTATCTTTTCATGTGCTTACTGTCTATTTGTGTATCTGCTTGTAGAAATGTCCCTTTACTTCCTTTGAATATTTTTAGTATCAGATTGTTTCTCTTTTACTGGGCCTCCCTAGTAGCTAAGTTGGCAAAGAATCTGCCTGCAATGCAGGAGAGCAGGGTTCAATCCCTGAGTCAGGGAGATCCCCTGGAGAAGAAACTGGCAACCCACTCCAGTACTGTTTCCTGGAGAATTCCGTGGACAGAGGAGCCAGGCAGGCTCCAGTCCATGGGATTGCAGAGTCGGACATGACCGTGTGACTGACTTTCACTTTCACTTTTTAAACTATTGACTTTTAAGAGTTCTTTGTATATTCTGGATACAAGTTCCTTGTCAGATTTTTAAATATTTTCAAATNAGCAGTGTCTCTTCTTGCCTCTGTGCCCTGTACTTTTCAGGAAATCATCTCCTATTCATTGAATAGCTTGTACCTGTGTGCCTCCTGAATGAGGAGGAAGAGTCTGACCTGCTGCAATGTTCCTGACTCTTTAATTATCATATATTTCAGATCTCAGTGGGAAGTGGAGAAGCATAATCTGGAAAGCACGATTAAAACGTACTTAAACAAACTGAATGCAGAAACTAGCAGGGCTTTAACAGCTGAGGTAAAAAAAAAAAGAGAGAGAGAGATGGAGTTGGGGAGGGAAGTTTTACTTGTGTACTAGTATACTAAAGAATTTTGAAAAGATTGTTTTTTGAATAAACAGAATTAAGACATCTTAGGACCAGCCAGAAAAACGCAGTTCAAACTCTTGTGCTTTTTTTTTTGACTCATTGGCATTTTGTATGTTTACTTGAAGGTTGATGATCTTATGTTGTTTTCCCCCAAATGACTCCCAAGAAATTGGTTTGCTTCAATAAATATAGCGTACTGATCTTGGAAAATTCTCATTAAACTAGGTGACTGAGCCAAATGTGTAAGAATAATATTTCACTGCTGCTATAATAAATCCTTTCTTTACTGTTTAAATGTATAAATATTTCAAAACCACACACATTCACCATACATTCCAGTCAAAAGCTAACTTACCTCTTCCCCTAGAAAGTCATCCAGTCCTCCTAAGTTATTTTTGAACACCACAGCTAAGATTTCTCAAAAGAAATGCGATTTTATGTATTGTGTAATTTTTATTTGTAGATAACCAATCTTGATGTACAATAAAATTCAAATTTTTGGAGAGCTCATTGATATTAAAATCATCACAAACCTTCTCACCTTTGTCATGGGTAAGGTCTATTTTTAACAGAGTACTCTGAAACCCAGAGCTCAACAATCAAGGGTTGATATCTGCACCAAAAATCCCGGAGAGTGATGTATTGGAGTATTAAATTTAACTGGGGAAAGAAAACAACCTCAGATTACCTTAAGAACTCAAGTTTGTAGACTTTTTCACTGCTTTTAATTGGAAAGTTTCTACTTAGATTATTAATTTTAGAAACACTTAACGCTGTCCAAGAGTATAGTAAGCTACTTTCAGTGAATATTGAGTGATCCATAGAAAAAAACAAAGGCCAAATGGCCATGCATCAATAATACTTGGAGAGACATCAGACTAGATGACCTCCAAGCCCCATTTGGGTGGCATAGTCCTATATGGTCTCATTGTTTTCTTACTCCTTCATCAATTAAAAAATAAAAATTAAATAGCAGGACTTCTTTT